ATAATAGGTTGGGAGAGGCGGAGGGGCATAGCCTGCGGGAGGGTTTGGGAACATTGGAGAGAGGAGTTTTATTAGGATTGGATAATCTAAGAAATTTATCAAGATTTGATATATTAGATTTACTAACTATCGATAAATATGTTGTAATTTTTTGGATTCTAATAACATAAAGAAAAACCGTTCTTGTTTAATTTCTATTGAACCATGTAAATCTTATGTTCTTATTTTTTTAATTATTTAATTCTTAATTATTCACTATACACTAGAAAAAAAAAAAAATTTTTTTTGGAAGAACATTGAGAAATAAGTGGTGGTGTTGGAAGGTGGCGGTTGGATTGCGGAGAACATGCATTACTTTGGAGGAGGTTGGGGCATTCAATAGCTTATCATAAGAATTGGGGATCGGGGGTTTGGGTCTAGTAGAGGTGGAGGGTTTGGAGACTGGTGGTGGTAAGGATTTATGTTTTGAGACTCGAGTTTGGCAAAAGTGACGCCGAAGAGAAATGTGTATCTATGTTTCTGGGTGTGTTTGTATGTGCGACCCTGAAAGATCATGAGTTTCGTGAGGTAGAGGAGGTGGTGGTGGTGGTGGTAAGAATTTGAAATGGTGGTTTGTCAAAGTTGCATGAAAACTAAGTGTAGAAAATGTAATCATCTGAAAATGGCTCCGACAATTTCTATGCATTTTGTTGGTAGGCTCCTCTGAGAAAGACACTTTTACGAAAATGTGTAACTATTGGTTACAACATTGATTTCATGTTATTGTCAACATGTATGGTGTACCCACATATAAGAATAGTAATTTTTGATACGATTCATGACACAACACTGGTAGAATGTCACTCCTAACAAATGTGTATATGAGAGATTGGAGTTCACCTTGCATATTTTTAGCATCTTATAATCAGATTATAATAGAACACTTCTATAATGATGTGACTTTGATGTTGTATTTTAAAAGTTGTGTTGCTTGTAGGGTTGTTAAATAATTCAAGAAGCTCAAGATCGGCTTGGATTTGACTTTATTTAAGGTCGTTCAGGCTCATTTCAATTATAAAATCAACCAAGTGGGATAATGCACCCAAGTTCATCCTGAAAATGGGTAGAATCTAAGTAACATATTGTTCAACTTGAATGGGCTCAACTCGCTCAAATAGATCAATGTATATTGCTAATTTGAATTTCAATACTAGATAATCCTTGTCTGAAAGGTGAGAAAACCAAACTTATCATTGTCCAACTCCAGACTATATACACTTTTCTCACACTCTCTTATTTAATAATTATCGAGAAAATTGAACTTCTAGTGTTTGATTTCATGAAAGATTATACATATTTGGTAGAGAAAGTGATAGTTTAAGAATTAATAACCAAATTATTTGGTCTAACTTTGGGAATTTTATAGGGAATTTGAGTCTAATTTTTGCTAGAGGTACTCTCAGCTATTATCAACCAACGAAGTTCTTCAAACTCAAGATTCAGGTACCATTTTGAGATGCAAAAACCTCAAATTAACACCTCTTACCTTTGCTGATGACCTTACGCTTTTTAGTCATGGTGATCTTCATTCTATTTACTTGCTAAAAATTGCCCTTAACAACTTCAAACTGCTTTATGGGCTTCAAGCTAACCACCTGAAAAGCAACATCATTTTCATGGTTGTTGTTCCAACTCTAGAGAAAACTCCCATCATCAACCTTTTACTTTTAGGCTTATGTGAAGACCTTCTGTCCATAAGATACCTTGGCATTTCTTTTATTACTTTCAGACTTAAGGCCCAACACTGTGACCCATTTATAGAAAGGATTAAATTAAGAATTTTGAGCTGGACAAATAGATTCCTATTTTTTGATGGAAGATTTCAACTCGTTCACTTAGTCCTTATTAGCATTCAAACTTTCTGGGCTTCTCACCTTTGTCTCCCACAACAAATCATTGAAAAAATAGAAAGACTTTTAAGATCATTCCTCTAGAGTGGAACTGAGATGAAGTCAATTGGAGCCAAAGTTTCTTGGGAGAATGTTTGTAGACCAAAAAAAGGAGGACTAGGAATCACTTTGGGAGGATATCTCTTGCAACTCTTCACTGATAAACAAGATCTTTGGTTCAAATGGATTCACTCCTACTACCTCAAGGGCAGGAGTATTTGGGTTGTTAAACCACCCCATAACTGTTCTTGGAACTGGCTTAGCATCTTAAAGCTAAGAGCACCTGTCAGACCCTTCATTAAGCATATTATTGTTAATGATATGAGCACTAGTCTTTGGCATGATTCCTGGCACCCCTATGGCCCTCTGTCATTTTTTTGCAACAACACCACCATGGATGAATCTAGCCTGTCAACAAACTCAAAGGCTCGCTTCATTTGTCAATGGCAATCAATGGTCTTGGTTAATAATTGTTCCTGCTAAATTGATGGATCTTGCTCAGAACATGCCCCTATCTCCCAAATCATTTAAGAGAAGACACTGTGAAATGGACACTAACTCCTACTGGCCACTCTTTTCATCATCCGTTTGAAAGCAGATTAGGGAGCAACATCCTAGAGTACCTTGGTACCATCTAGTATGGTTTTCTCAAGGCATCCTTAGAATGAACTTTATTCTTCGGTTGGCTATCAGACAAAGGCTAAGCACAAGAGATAGAACCCTAGCCTATGCTGCCCAACTTGGGATTGAATATAGCCTATGCAACCATTCCCAAGAATCTCACCAACACCTCTTCTTTGCTTACCCCTACTCAAGGTTTATCTTGTGTCATCTGATGCTTCTATGTGGTGAACAATGGTGAACTAGTCCATGGAAACTTCTACTTGATCAAGTAGTACAAACATGGAAGAACCCTTCAAAATTATGCCTCTCAATAGCTGTTTACTCCATTTGGAGAGAAAGGAACTCAAGGCTTCATAGCCAACAACGCATACTTGCTATGTGATGTCCAAGCTTGATTTGCATAGAATTGTACAGGACTAGGGCTAATTCCCGTGGGGTACTCAGCTAGGATTAGTACCTCTTAGGAATTTCCTATACTTTTTTGCCCACCAATGGGGAATCACTCTCTGTATTGGTTGTTTTGTTTTGAAGATGTACATCACAGAATTTTCACATAAATGAAAGATTTATTTATTTTCTAAAGAAAAAAAAAAGAATGTGTGTTATAGAGGTTGGGAGTGGAAAGAGGGGTCACATAGTGCTTTCATTTGTCTTGATGCTCAATAACATTATAAAAACGTGTAATCTTTGATTATAGTGCTAGGGTCGGCTTAGAGATGGTGAGCTTCTTGTTGGCCTTGCTTCTTGCGGTCTGATGGTGGAAATTGTATCTAGATTTTGACTTGATGCAAGACTTTAAAACCTACTATTTGATGTCACTGGTGAAGAAACAAAACACGCATTCATATGTGTGTGTGTGTGAGAGAGAGAGAGATAGAGAGAGAGAAGGAGAAGCTGGAGTGAGGTGGGGTGGGCAAAGAGGGTAGGGGTGCATATATAAAATAATGGGATATTTTTAAAATGTGTGGGGATGGATTTTTTGAGGGTGAAAATAGCCTCACTCAATAAAAAATACTCTTTTAAGCGTGTAACTTCATGAAGTCGTTGGACATGTTTTGAGCTATGAAGTACTCAAAAATATTAATCCATAGAATCATGCAGATTATAGAAAACCTATTTATCTTTGTAGAACTCTTTTTCAGGGATTACAAATTCGTTTTGGTGGATTGTTTCAGTCACTTCGTTTCAGAAATAGAATTGAAACAAATAATAAAATTTGAGAATTTATTTCTAAAATATTTTGAAGCAATAGTCGACAAAAATATCTTAAAACACTGAAAAATATTTGTAGAAACATGTCAAAACATTTTGAAATATTCCTAAACACCTCAGAGTATTGATTCAATTTTAGATTCGTTTCAGTTTCATTGAAGTGAAAATGTTTTTATCGTTTGAAAACGAAATTTTGATTTTTACCCTTACCCTGAAAAATAAAGATAGTCCCCCAATGTTAGGGTGAACAAAGAACCGATAACAAGGAAACAAAATGAACTAATTGAAGAGGTGCCAATCTCTTCTAGTGTTGTTGGAGCCTCATCAAGATAAAAGCTCCAACAAGACTCACTCACACAAATCATAGATTTACGAGCAAAGATTAGTATGACTTGCCCTTGCATGCTAGTACTTTTAAGTCCTCAACCAAAGTGTTTGAAGATAAACATCCTTTTATGTAATAGAGTTGTGGCTAGCTATATGCTTGGGTTGTGAGGGAAATTTAGTTGTCTTGGTCTAAATTGCATATTTACAGAAACGCATGTGTATCTTAGCCTCTTGGCATGTAAGAGTTGTAGTTACCCAAGGTTTTAGGCCATGAGGGTATTCTCTTTCACACTAAATAAGTTTGATTGATGCTGAGTACCTCTTTTGACAGTATAATTTACAGTCTTTTGGCATGCCTTAAACTGTACAGATAGATGTTTCATTCCTACTTAATTAGTTGAGGGAACCCCTCGGGGCGTTGTTTCACCACTATAGACTTAAAGTCGGGATACCACCAAGTGGTGGAAGCATTGAAAGACTGTGTTAAAGACTCACGATTACATCGAGCGAACTCCACAAGTGTGCTGAAAAAGACTAAAAAAAATCTGTGATAAGTAAGTGTCTGCGTTAAAGACTTGCGACTACATCAAGCAAACTCCACGAGTGTCCCGAAAAAGACAAAAGAATATGTGATAAGTAAGCGTATGCATTCAAGAAATCGCAATTTTTTGTGTTCAGGCACCGTGCGTTAAAATTTATCGCGTGATTGTATATCTAATTTTTTTAAGAAGTAAAGTCACTTATATCCATAAAAAAAATATACAACATAATAGAATTCTATTAAACCTAATCCACGTTACAAGTAACAAACAATTAGAACACATTTCAATCCATGAAAAGCAAACCGAATAAACAACATGACCATGCAAGATGCAGGAAAACAGGAACAATATTCTTAGGGTTTGGAGTTTAGAGCCTTAAGTTCAAATCCAACTCAATAACATCACCATCACTCTCATTCAGCTCCACCACCTCCGGGACAGGAAGATCCAACTGATCAAGATATCCTCTCGTCGGATCTGCCGGAGGCTCATTCATTTCTTGACGACTCTCAGCTCGTAAGCCATATTGTATCAAATTCTGCATGGGCGTTTGATATGCACCATGCACGTTGCTTGGACCCGGCGGGAGGGTTTGCGACGCCGGAGTTGAATCGACACCATGCATGGAGTTTCTCAGAGAGAAGGGAAAGGCCAATGACCTCTGAGTAAAAGTTGGAAGTGCATGGCGCCGGAAGTAGCGTCTCGGAGGCGGACGGCGGAGTATACGTTGGTTGTTTTGAAGGGTTAGTGGAAGTAGCGGTTGTGGTGCCGGAAAAGGAAGAATGGGTCTGAATGGAGTGCCGAAGAGAGGGGTTTCACGGTGGCCAAAGTGACAGGTAAAATGGTGCAAGTAATTAGCAGAGTTGAAGAAGATATTGCTGCAGAGTGGGCAGATGATTAGTGTAGGATAGTCAGACAGTCCTAGTGCAAGCCTGAAATAAGAGTAGAGGTAGTCATAGCTCCAGTTCCACAAATTGTTGGACATGGTGATTGGAGAGAGAGAGAAGAGATGCATAGAGGATGGTAGGGAACAAAGGTTTTATGGCCAAAGCTCCTTCTTCTAGGGTAGAATAATCTTAGCGTAACTTAATTTTGCTGACCAATATTGTTATCATTGAATTGACAGTGAATTCTCTCGCTGAATGAGATCCAGTGTATATCAAACGTTACCATTGAATTAGCAATGAATTCACTCACCGAATGAGATTCATTGCATATCAAATATCAACAATTGACTAGTCAGAAAATAGTTTTATTGCTTAATTAGCTGGCAAGAAACAGTAATATTACTCTACTGTCTTGTGAAGATAATGTGTTTGAATCACGAAAGTAATCTCTTTGCACATGACAGTAAGAATGCATACATTCAACCTTTTACAGGTCAGATCGTAACGGATGCCACGTGTATTGAGTTGCTTACTAGTATTTTTTAGGGTATGGTGGTCCCTGCGAGGCAACTCATAACAGTCATTGCTACTCTCGTGTTGTGCTGTAATTTTACGAAAGCATTCATGAGGTTAAGATATAAAAGTTAACCCTAATAGTAATTCAGGTGGTAATAAAGACGAACTGTAAATTCAGACGTTCGTCTGAGTTTGAATCTTATAAATCTCTTGGGATAGGTTCTGAAAGATTTATTCCTCATGAATACTTTAATCCTGATGTGGATAACCTATCTTTAATCAGACCGAAAAAAGAATTAGTCGAGGTGCGCGTAAGTAAATCTAGGCATCCCCGACAGTTGAATTAAAAAATAATAATATAGAAGTTGGGCCCATTAATATTACAAGAATCTAGCCCTAAAATACACAATCTGCTATGAAAGGGAACTAAATGTCTAGAGCTGTCTATAATTATCAGGAATATGGTAATTATTTGAGTAATTAATGGCCAAGTCATAAAAAGGTCATCATCTCCAGCTAATTAGGGCTCTAAAGAAGACAACAAACAGTTAGTATTTGTAAGGAAACAAAGAACTAGGTGCAATTAGTTAGTAATAAGGATGAAAAATGAGAAGCTAGGTTAATTTGAATAATAATAATAGTACTATTTCTACATATTTTGGGATAGAATGAATGGGTCCCGTTGAAATACTAGGTCCCACCGCTCATCTAATAATAAAGTAGTAATTTAGGTTCCTTAATTAGATTCTAATAACATTCCTAAGTTTGTACTCCATGTACACTAATCTTTCCAAGTATAGCTTATATTCAACATGGAACCTTTATTACTATTCTTCTGGATATATCCAAATTTAGCCTTACAGTGATGATTACATTCAAACATACTTGAATGCAAGATTGAGCTTAATTTTGAAACTTACAAAAGAAAACAATAATATTACTTGTATTCAACTTACCAATATTATTTAGTGATTTAATCCATTCCTAGTATTAAAAAACCCCATTGGGGTTGTTTGGTTGCAGTATTAAAGGTATGTTTGGATAGCAGATTAAAGGTGGATAACTATAGTAGGATAGGATAAAAAAGAATGTTGAATCCATATGTCTCACGTTTGGTAAATAAAAATGCAAGGAAATCTCATTCGAATTTTATCCCAACCCGATTTAAAAAATTAACTTTACCTGATATAATATGTAATACAGTTTACGGTATGCCCATCCTAGGTTAGGAGACCTCTATATTGTTTGTCACTGCCTCAAATAAGTCGTTGTTCTCTTCTATTGGTCATTGTAACACGCCCTTACTTTTTTATGGTTACAATGTATTTGAAAATATTTATTTTATATTTAAATGAGTTATTAAAAAAAAGATGTGAAAGTGTATTTTTTTTTTGTTTAGAATGGGGGAGGTTGCTATTTTATAAACCAAATATGAAAGTGAATAGGATAGGATAGGGGTATAATAGTCGATATAAGAAAATTACACCACTCTTATCCATAGGCCCCACAAAAACATATAATCTACCCAATTAACGGAAATGGCTGAATATACCAATTTATATTATATCCAGATGACTGCTAAGTAGGTTTGGATTGAATAAAAAATAATATCTTTTTAGATATATAATCCACTCCAACCCTGTAAACCAAGCATACCCTAAAAGGGAGAATTATAGAGTCATAATAGATTAAGACTCTTTACTCCAACCTTATACTACATTTGGTTATAAAAAAATATCCAATATTATATATATTTTTATTTCAAATGTTTATTCAAATAATACACTCTATCAATATTATTGAACCGATTATAATACCATCTCCTCATATGATATTATAGTCAAATTCAAGTGTATTAAGTTATAAATTTACTATTTTATCCAACATATAAACAAAAATATTAACAAGTAGACAAGATTGAATTAGTCAAAATTGATGGTTTTTTAGCCAATTTGTAATTGTTCCCCTCTCTTAATTTAGTGTCTTACCAAACAATGGGTTACAATACTTAATATTTTTTGCCTATAATTAATATTGTATTTTATCCACTCATACGAAATTAGCTTGTATTACCTAATACAATTCATTTTTCTTATGAAAAAGGGCAATATGATAATTAGTCGCTATGGTACAGTTTGAAAACTTAAATTTTTCTAGAACTCGGATGACAAATTGGACCTTACCATTGAATTTGTCTCGCGAAATCTAGTTGTCAAGTCAATTTTTGTTGAATTTCGAGACAGTCAGATCAGGTGTTGCGTGACCAAAATAAACGCAATCAAGAATTAATTGGGAAAAGTGAAAAATAATTTAAGTTAATTTCAAATAAAACTATATTGAACATGGATCAACACATGATTTAATTAATTCGGGACGAAATCGGACAGGGGAAAGACAGACAGGTGGTGCAACAAGGGCCAAGTATTGAAGGTATATAAATAAGGGAGAAAAATCATATTTTCTCCCCATTATCCATCAATTTTTTTGAAAAAGAGAGAGAGGGAAGAAGACAGAGAAAGCAAGGGTTTTTTCAAGCTTCTCTCTACGATCTATGGCCAACCGTTCGTCGAGACAACTCGGGCCAAGAACTAAAGTCGATCTACGTGACAAGGGCTAAGTATACGTACTAAAAAGTGCAGATTTTGACGAAGTCTCAAAGATGAAATTTTTTAAAATCAAGGGTTAAAGCTTGGTTCAGGTTCTTAGGAGTTTTCTACCGCTCGAATTACGCTTCAAGAGATAAGATTCCTTTCCTAATTAGGTTTATTTCTAACCTAAGGTTGAAATATGAAATGGGTAGGGTGTTAGAGATATAATCTCATGTATAACACATACCCATGATAGTTGAAATGTGAAAAAATAGGTATACGAATGGTTAAAATCAATTCTAGCATGAATTGAATATGTTAAAATTACTTGTTTGTGATTTTTTGAGAAATATATAGATTGGGCATGTTATGTGTCTATATTTATGCCTTGAAGGTGTTTAATGAAATGCCTTTGTGGATTAAGCATGTTATTTACATGGATTATGTTACAACATGCTTGGAATTTGATGTTAGAAAATGTTGGTATATGCATTCTGATATATTAACATTGAGAATTTGGAAATGTTGAAGGAATATTGTTCATATTGTGCTTATGACATATTGAACTTGATATTTAAAAATACAATTGTACATTTCATTTGCATATGTACAGAAAAAATCGCATTCGTGGGCTTGTGATATGAGTGTGGGTGTGTGCATGGTTTTGATCAAACACCACCCTTGGAGGATGATGCATGGGCTCGAAAAAGTTGGATCAAGGTTCAACTAAGTCGCATGGGTTGCATTGAAAATAGGGTCAGGGTTACAAAGAAGGGCTAGACTGTCCCTCAGGTGCAAGACCCGGTGATTTGGATATGCATTTCGTTGGTATAAAGTTCATAAAGTGTGTCAGCATATGCGGAGCCATTGGTGGAAGTCCATGAATGTCGTGTCGATTGGGTGCCCGTTGGTATAAGTCCATAAATACCCATACCAAGAAATACTCGAGAATTTTAATGGTCATTGGATGTGTAATATTAATGATAGAGGCTTGGAATACCCAGATTCATACGCATGACACTGCATGTGTTATGGAAGTCGGTGAAGGATCATGTTGAGTTTTATGTATGAATCTCATCTCATAACATGGCTTGGTATAGAGAATTTCATTATGAATTGTATATTTTTAAATGGATTGTTGTTGATTATTGAATTAGATGTGAGCATTTTATATGCATATAAATTGGGGAGTAGCCTCTTTAGGAGATACCCTGTTGAGCGTGACTCACTCTTTATGGGAAAAATATTTCAGGTGTGGGACAAGCGCAGGGGGATGACTCTCATTTGGGCTCTCATTGATAAAGAAAAGCTTAGATGTGGCTTTAAATTACATTTTTGTAAAACAAATAAGTAATTTAGTTTTTGAACATATAATATTGTACAAGGGATTGTAAAATGAACTCATATGAAGTATGTTTTGTGTAAAATTGTATGTTATATGAGTTTTGATTGTTATTGTATGAGATTACAAGAGATGGAGTTGAAAAATGATTGAATCGGGGGAAACTGGAATAATCTACTGGTAGGAAGTTGATCACCTACCAATAGAAGTTTTCCAGTGAGCTCTTCTACCGGTAGAACATTGATCTTCTACTGGTAGAATAATTCTAGTGGGCTCTTCCACTGGTAGAATGTTGATTATCTATCTGTAGAAGTATTTCAGTGAGTTTTTCTACAGGTAGAACATTGTTTTTTCTGCTAATAAGTCCTCTGTAATGTTTAGAAAATTAAAATGATCTTTTTAGGTCTTTGGGCCTTGAGTTCTTTTGCTCAAAGGAGATAAATGGAGTAATATTAAGGGTAAATTGATGTACATTGGGCCTTAGAATGGTCAAGTAACTGAATTGTACACAGGTTATGCACTTGGTAGTACCCGGTACAAAGGAGACTCTGCCCGAACTCTGTGTTAGTTTTGATCCCGGTGAAAGGGATGTTGTGGCGTGGTGTCAGGTTATGCGGTATCCACAGGTATTTTTATAGGTTGATGGGAGATC